TGGGTTGCCCTTAATTCTTTCCTTTTCCGAAATACTGTTTATATTGTGTATGAATATCATCTGGATAGTGGAAGCTAGCTGAGACCAGAGATAGGGCTCAGTGGTACAGAACTTGCTTGGCATGCTCAGGCCTTGGCTTCTAGTCCTAGGAAAAAAAGGCTAAAAATAAGATGTCTAAGATGGGTGTCTTAGTTACGGTTCTACCGCCGTGAAGAGACTCTATGACCAAGGCAACTTAGAGTTTATTGGAGGCTTACAGTTTCAGAGGGTTAGGGCCCCTGACCATCATGGCGGGGAGCGTGGGAGGGAGCAGTAGCTGAGAATTTACGTGCTTATGCACAAGAGGGAGGGAGGGAGGGAGGGAGGGAGGGAGGGAGGGAGGGAGGGAGGGAGAGAGAGAGAGAGAGAGAGAGAGAGAGAGAGAGAGAGAGAGCACAGGTACTGAGAAGACTTTGGAAACCTCACCCCCCCCCCAGTGACCCGCCTCCTGCAACAAAGCCACGCCCCCCAATCCTTCCAGACAGCTCCGGCAGCCGAGGACCAGATATTCAAATCCGTGAATGTATGAGGTCTGTTCTCATTGCAAACATCACGGTGATACGGTGGTACTTTCCCTATCATCCCAGCTGAGGCAGGAGAATCACATCAAGTTTAAGGCCAGCCAGCCTGAGCTATGCTGTGAAACTCTGGCTCAAAAAAGCCAATAAATAAAAAGCCCTGCCTTTTATGCCTAAGAACAACGTGGCTGTGCTGAGGAAGTCAGGACAGACAGCTGCAAACAAAGATTGATTGATTCCCTTCCGGCAGGTGGAGAAGTGTGGGGAGACCCGAGGAACTGAGTGGGGGAGCAGGGAAGAGGAAGAAGTGACATTTCTCTAACTAAATCTTGAAATTATTTAATTATTGAGATATAATTTTGCTATCATCAAAATCACCCTTTAGAGATGGGTGGGGGAGCTTCGCGTGCACACGGCCCAACACTAAATAGTTATTCTGTTTTGCTGTTTTTTTTTTTTGTTTTTTTTTTTGTTGTTGTTTTTGTTTTTTTTTTGAGACAAGGTTTTTCTGTGTAGCCCAGGCCGTCCTAGAACTTGTTTTTGTTGACCAGGCTGGCCTTAAACTCAGGGATCCACCTGCCTCTGTCTCCCAAGCTCTGGGATTAAAGGTGTGCGCCACCAACACCCAGCAATAATTCTTTAAAGTATAAAACTAAGTGGTTTAATATCCTTAAATTGACAGCCTTCACTGTTAGTGAACCTCAGGACATGTTCATCAGCCCAAGAGAACCTTAGTGCTCACCCTCAGCCATGCCCCATCCCTCCTGGAGTTGCCCTGGGCAACAGCTAATCCACTCTGTCTCTTTGGGCTTGATCCATGTTTCCTATAATGGAATCATGCGTGTGGCCTTTTGTTTCTGCAGTCTTTCACCAAGCATACTGTTGTCCTGTTGCAGCGTGAATCAGGGCTTTCTTCCTGTTTATGGCTGGATAATAGTTCATTGTACAAATATGCAGATTTTATTTATCCTTTCATCCGTCAGTGGGCATCTGGGCCCTCACTCATCCTTTTTGGCTGCTGTGAGGAATGATGCCCTGAGAGTTTTCAGCTCTCACAGGAACGTCTAGGCAGGATTGTGATTCTGGAGTAACTCCTGGGGGGTTGCCTGTCTGTGTTTGTTTGGTGTTTGAAGTGGGACTCGGGATCTCTAGCCTGGCCAGCACACGCTCTCACATGGACTGCACACGCTCTCACATGGACTGCACATGCTCTCACATGGACTGCACACGCTCTCACATGGACTGCACATGCTCTCACACGGACTGCACATGCTCTCACACGGACTGCACATGCTCTCACATGGACTGCACACGCTCTCACATGGACTGCACACGCTCTCACATGGACTGCACACGCTCTCACATGGACTGCACATGATCTCACATGAACTGCACATGCTCTCACACGGACTGCACATGCTCTCACATGGACTACACATGCTCTCACACAGACTGCACACGCTCTCACATGGATTGCACACGATCTCACATGGACTGCACACGCTCTCACATGGACTGCACACGATCTCACATGAACTGCACACGCGCTCACACGGACTGCACATGCTCTCACATGGACTACACATGCTCTCACACAGACTGCACATGCTCTCACATGGATTGCACACGATCTCACATGGACTGCACACGCTCTCACATGGACTGCACACGCTCTCACACGGACTGCACACACACTCTCACACGGACTGCACACGCTCTCACATGGACTACACATGCTCTCACACGGACTGCACATGCTCTCACATGGATTGCACACGATCTCACATGGACTGCACACGCTCTCACATGGACTGCACATGCTCTCACACGGACTGCACACACACTCTCACACGGACTGCACACGCTCTCACATGGACTACACATGCTCTCACACGGACTGCACATGCTCTCACATGGATTGCACACGATCTCACATGGACTGCACACGCTCTCACATGGACTGCACATGATCTCACATGGACTGCACACGCTCTCACACGGACTGCACATCTCTCACATGGACTGCAGCCCCACGGTCACGTGTTTGACTTTCATTTTTATTCATCTGTTTTTATTATTATCTTATGTGCATGGGTGTTTTGCCCGTGTGTATGTCTGCAACACAGGCATGCCTTGTGCCTTTGGAGGCCGGGAGAGGGCATTGAAGCCCCTGGAACTGGAGTTACAGATGACTCTGAGTCACCAAGTGGGTGCTGATAAGGGAACCCAAGTGGAAGAGCAGACAGTGCTCTTGAAGGCTGAATCAGGGTTTCATTAGTCTAGCTTTAAATTTTCGAGTAGCTGAGGGTGACCTTGAACTTCTGATCCCTAGGATTTCAGGCTCGCCTTGCCACACCTGCTAGGATTTTATTTGTTGTTTTAAGGGTAGGCGTGGCACAGTCTGACGACCTTGAATTCTGTCTCCTGCCTCATCTTCGCAAGTGGGCACAGCAGGTGTGTGGGCACAGCAGGTGTGTACCAGGTCAGTACCACCACACCCTGGCAACGACGCTAACTTCTGAAGGGCTGCCATACGGCTTTTCAAAGCACTGGACAGCTACACTAGGGTGGGGACACCCATCCGTGCCCCTGTCTTTGGCGGGTAGAAGTGTCCACAGTTCTCTCTCCAGCCTGGGCTCTGACTCTGCTCTGTGTGAGTGGCTCAGGAAGGAGGAGGTAAGTGGCTGCGTGGGGTGTCGAGGGGATCTGAGTCCCATGGAAGCTTCTAGAGTGTCCCGGGACCCCTCACTCTCCAACACAGGCATTCGACATTCTCTAAGCTCTAACTCATAGGCCCTGCCTGCTGGATCCCACATCCTTAGTCATAACCCCCAAAGCCTAGCCAGCCAGCCTTTGTCTCTGGCCTGTCAAGTACTTGCTCACTGTAGCCCCCCCGCCCCCCCCCAGGATTCAACCTCACCTACTTGAAACCCAAGGACCCCTCCACCCCATTCATTGGTCCCTTCCAATTCTGTCATGTTCTTCTTCCCTCAGGTGGGGCTCCCTGGTCACCTCTCCCACTACTGTCCCCTGTCCTTCCGTCTACTGCTCAGTCTGCTCAGCCCCAGCAGCCGAGGCCCACACAGGCCATGCATGAATCTCAACTCAGTCTTTACCCTGTGTCGAACTGCTGAGGAGGAGAATAAAGAACGAGGGTGGCATTTTAAAAGTGTGTCTGTGTTCTTCTCAGCGGTGGGGTTAATCTGCCCTCGTGCTGAGGGAACACTGATGGAGGTTCTCAGGCAGGTGCAGGCTGGGGGTGGGGGTGGGGAGGAGCTTCCGGCGCCAACCAGGATTAGTCTGAAGTGACCGTCCCCGGGTGGAGAGGACTTTTCTCTCAGAAGACATTGTTAGGATGTTGATTTAATGCTGAGAGGTTGGCAGTTCTCCCAGCACTATAACACAAAGGCAGGGCCAGGCCAGTAGCCGTTCAGACCCTATAAAGACAACAGATAACCAAATTGCTGTCTGCTTCCTCTCTGATGCTCCCGGCTGGACTCTGCCCTCGGCAGCAGCTCTCAGCTCAGGGGGTGTCTGGCAGACAGCAAGTGTGGGAGCTGGGTGGTTGGTTAGAGCCCAGGAATAGGCAGGAAGCGGGTACTTAGTCCCTAGTGCCCTGTAGACCCTTGTGATCTTGAAGAAGTCTCCTCCTTACCTGGGCTTCGGTCCTCACCTCTGCCTCTCCGGAACTGGAAGCAGAGATGCACCGTGTGGCAGGCGCGCCCCCTGGCGGCACACTGACCTGGAGGACGCACGGGGCTCGCCTGATCCTCCAGGTGACTTGGGTGGTGCCCCCGGGCGAGCACAGGCCTTTCCTGTTCTTGGATAGCAGAGCAAGCAAACCTCAGCGATGTGTAGTCAGGCCCCAGGGTCACACAGTGGATCTAAATCTGCGGCTTCCCCACCTTTCTATGCTAAGAAATGCCAGAATCTTTAAAAAAAAAAAACAAACTTTTTTTTTAAATTTTAAGTTATTTTATGTGCATTTGTTTTAATAATTTATTTTACATGCATTGGTGTTTTGCCTGCATGTATGTCTGTGTGAGAGTATCAGATCTTGGAGTTACAGATAGTTGTTAGCTGCCACGTGGATGCTGGGAATCGAACTCTCAGTGGTTTTGAAGACAGATAGTTTTCTCTGTAGGGTTTTGTTTTTTTTTTTTTTTTTGCCTGTCCTGGAACTAGCTCTTGTAGACCAGTCTGGCCTCGAACTCACAGCGATCCACCTGCCTCTGCCTCTGCCTCCCAAGTGCTGGAATTAAAGGTGTGAGCCACCACCACCCAGCGAACTCAGTGCTCTTAACAGCTGAGCTATTTCTCTAGTCCTGTAATGCCAGAATCTTAATATCCTTACCCAAAGAATGGAGACAACTTTCTTCCCAGGAACTGAGAACAAGGCTCCAACGCAGGAACTTTTGGGTTGGCGATGCCCCGTTGTCCACCGTGAGAGTGGGCATCGGGACCGTTTGTTGAGAAGAAAGCACGTCATGTGTTCATTTCCTTCGTTTATTATTAAATAGCATCGTGGTAGACAGAGCCTCTGGTCTTCTAAGGATGTCCACACCCTAATCCCTGGAATCTGTGACTAAAATAGGTTACATGTGAACAAGATGAACTATGGAATTGCTGGTGAGCTGGCTTTAAAACATGAAGATATTTCCTGGGTGTGGAGACAAACCTGTAATCCACCCTTTGGGAGAATGGTGGCAGAGGTTCTGGAATTCAAGCTCATGCTTGACCTACCTCATGGCAAGTTTCGGGGCAGCCTGGGCTACATGGGAGTTTGTCTTAAGCAAACAGACACAAGCTAAGCCTGGGTTAGCCCAGTGAACCCGGGTTTTAGCTCCAGGGAAGGAGAGCAGAGAAAAACTAGTCAGAGAGAAGTTTGGCTGTAGAGAAATGTAACATGGTTGGTTTTGAAGATGAAGGAGGGCCTCTTCTAGAAGCGAGGGAATAAAATGGGGTGTGTGGATACCCAGGAAGGAAGGCGGTTTTACCAACACCTTGGCTTTAGTCTAATGAGAAGGGCCTGTGTTGTTGGAGAACTACAGGATAAGTGGGCTTGTTCCTAGGCTTCGAGCCTTGGTGAGAATTTGTTAGAGCAGCAACAGAAAACCAAGACAGGGTTCTCACAGATAACGCTCCACGCCATTGGGACAGATAGCATTTCCAAAAGCGTTGGAGAAGCAAATCAGACGTTACTAGGAGTTCACAGTCAGGGCTGCAGAAAGGTGGCTGCGACGCTGACTCCTCCAGGAGCTGCCCTCCAGGAGCTTCGCTTTGACCTCCAAGATTCCTGGAGCGTCGCGGAAGCAAGGCTGTCAGACACGGCTTCGTTCTGAGTGTAAACTGCCTTCTGGGAGCTCCCCTCAGCTAACATTGATCTTGGCAGTCATGCCTCTCTTGCTGCCCACAATGAATGGATACAGGTTCCCCGGGAAGGCTGGTATGTGAGGATAAACAGGTATTCCCAGCCCAGTTTAAAAATAAGAAAAACACACCTACGCGTCTGAAGACCGATAGGGTCAGAACCCCTGACGTGGAGGCCAGGAACACACGCTAGGATATAGTGATTTCCAGATCTACCCTCAGGGTGATATCAGTGTGCATCGGGGTTCAGATCGGAAGACGCACTCTCAGCTCCCCAGCTTTCTGTTCTCGGGAGGCCCTGCCTGTTGCCTGCGGCTGCAGTGCAACTGCGGGTTGTGCAGCGCCTTCCACATGAGCAACATCTCATAGGGCGCAAAGCGGTGCACCAGCAACAGCTCGCGGTACACGCAGGGGTCGAAGGACGAGCGCTCCGCGCCCGGCATCCGCACGCCGAAGGGCCGGATGCCCTCATGGGGGCTGGGCGCCAGGCCGGCCTGCTTCAGACACATGCCCATGTAAGCGTCGTCGATGGGAAAAAGCGGGACCTGGCGCGCCGCGCTGAGCAGGTCGCGGGCTGTGCGGCTGGACAGGAGGAAGCCACCGCCGCTGCAGTACACTGGGTAGGCCTTACCCGGGAAGAGCTGCGGGGGCACGAAGTACTTGCTCCAGCTTTCGCGGATGGGCACAGAACCGTCCATGAGCTGCCCGGTAAAGAGGTGGCTCTCAGGCGACTGCACCTCCAGGAAATGCACCACGTTGGCCGTGTGCACGAAGACGTCGTCGTCGCAGCTGAGCAGGAAGCTCGCACCCGGGCAGCGCTCGGCTGTCCACTCCAGCAGGTGCACGTGCTTGAGCGAGAGGTTGAGGAAGGTGTCCGCGAAGTCCCACTGCAGCACGTCGCCATGCTCGCGCGCCTCCAGGTCCAGCAGGCTGGCCAGCTGAGGCTCGCGCGCCGCCTCGTCGGGAGGGGAGGTCCCCAGCAGGAAGAGGCGACGCACCTGCCGCCCGCCGTAGCTGCGCTCCTGGCCCCACGTGCGCCGGATCAGTTCCCGCCGCTCGTAATGCGCGGGCGAAGACTTCACGGCCAGCAGCAGGAAGACGCCGCGATGGCCCGCGCACTTGTGGGGCGCGTCCCACAGCTGCGGGAAGCGGCGGCAGTGGCGGTAGCGTAGGAAGTCTTGGATCCGGGCAGGCAGCTCCTGGAAGCCGTCCGTGAGGTTCACAGAGGCGTTGGCCACGCAAGGGGGCGCCTGGAGGTGTGGCGACAGCTGCGCCGCAGCCGCGGAAGACCAGGGAGCAGCGGTGGGGACTTCAGTGTACTTCTGCGTGGGCTCCTGGAGAAACCACTGGTGCAGCACCACGAAAGTCATACCCACTAGAAGGAAAGCCAGTGTCTTGGGGTTCTTGGACCTGCGGCCGGGCAAAGCCATCTAGGGAAGGGGGAGGGGCAAGTCACAGATGAGCCAGGAATTTTTGATACCAGTGGGATGCCTCTCTATCCACATCGGATCTCTCCCAGAATCCGGCTCAGCCCTTTCTCAACTCTGCTAAGAGGTTAAATGAAGCCGGGGCCGTCATGGTGCGTGCCTTTAGTCTCCCAGCATAGAGGAGGAGGAGCAGGAGGATCCAGAGATGAGGTCATCCTCAGCTACAGAATAAATTCAAGGCCAAACTGGGCTCTGTGAGACCTTGTTTCAAAAATCAAAACAACCAACTAACCAATCAAAACAAACAAACAAACACCAAAAGGGCCCCGTGCAGTTGGTACAACGAACGTTGTCTAACATGAAGGAGGTCCTGGTTTGGGTAGCCAACTCTACATAAACTGGGCATGGTGGCTCACACCCGTAATCCTGGCATTCAGAGAGGCCGAGGCAGGAGAATCACTGAACTGAGACCAGACAAGGCACACAGGTGGGGCGAGGCCCAAATCCCTGCACTGTGGGTCTCCTGTAGTCAAGAGTGAACTCTGTTTGTCATGGTCGGTGCACACTCCGGGATGCCACCCAGGATGGCAGACGTGTTCAAAGTCAGCCTCCGTCTTGCTCTGAGTCGCCATCCAGCCCTTTCTCTGCCAGTGGTACCCCCATCCACCCATTTGCTCAACCAGAGGCTCCACATCTCTCCACTGCCTCCTCAGGGTGTGTCTCCTCCCCGCACTCCTCTGATTCTGCGTTTCTCTCGGGTTGATCCCTTTCTCTCCATCTCTGCCCAGCTGGATCCCACGCTGGCTAGATCAATACAGTGGAGTAAATACCGCTTGCTTGGGCTTACATTTAGCTTCTGTTAAGTAAGCTCAGGGCAACTGATCAAGGGGGCACGAGGCCAGGGCACGGATGTTTGTTGATGACTGCTAGGAAGTGCACCTCAAGCAAGCCAGTCAGATCTCTGGCCCTAGAGAGAACTCTGTAACGTCGGATTATATTACATTCTCCACGAGCATGGTGAGAATTAAGGATCCTGTGGCCACTGAATGCTATCCGATTAGGACTTTGGCGTCCTTCATGCTTCTGTGTCTGCCTGTTGTTATTTGTTATCAAGATCAGGCCCTTTCTTGCATGGAGCCTGCTCATGTATATGTCCTCCAGCACTGCAAGAAAAACTCCACATCTTTAACCTTTCCCCTGCTTAACTGTGCATGCTGGCACCGGCACACAACACTGTCATTGTGTGTGTGTGTGTGTGTGTGTGTGTGTGTGTGTATTTCTTTTGTATACAAGGATCTTATATAGACCATGGTAGCTTCAAACTCCATATGCAGTCAAGGATGACGACCTTTAGTTTCTGATTCTCTTCTGTCCTGGCTAGTTTTATGTCAACTTGACACAAGCTAGAGTCATCTGAGAAGAGGGAGCCTCAACTGAGAAAAGGCCTCCATAGGATCAGCTGCAAGGCATTTTCTTAGTGATCAATGGGGGAGGGCCCAGCCCGTTGATGGTGGGGCCATCCCTGGGCTGGTGGTCCTGAGTTCTATAAGAAAGCAGGCTGAGCAAGCCACGAGGAACAAGCCAGTATAAGCAGCACCCTTCGTGGCTTCTGCATCAGCTCCTGCCTCCAGGATCTTGCCCTTTAAGTTCCTGCCTTGGCCTTCCTCAGAAAGCCATGAAGGATATGGAAATCAAACAAACCCTTTCCTCCCCAAGTTGCTTTGGTTATGGTGTTTAATCAAAGCAATAATAACACCAGCTAAGACATCTTCTTTCACTTTTTACAGGAATGGCCCGCTGCCCTTCCCTGTTTGAGGTATCCGGAGTAAACTTTAAACAGCGAGCGTACACACATCATCCAGCTCACTCGCTCTCACCAGCCACCTGGCCTGGCCATCTGCTATGCCTCTTTCTGCCCTGAAATTTTGTCCTGTGCCAATTGCTAACTGCACAAATCTCGCCTACCTTAGCCATCCATCATCGTGTGGAACATTTGAAGCTGTAGAACCGTTGAGAAGGCCTCAGTGGAGGCCAAAGGAGAGCAGGCACACTGTCGGTCATGCCCCTATACCTCCCTCCTGCTAGCCCATCAGCACGTCTGGGGCAGGGATGGAATCTTTGTTCCTCACGATTGTAGGCTGAGGGGATGGCGTGCTGTGGTGAATGCTGCTTACCAAGGTTCAAATCCTGTTTCTGCTACTTCCTGGTTGCATGGTTAAGCAAGCAGACATGGGTTTGTCTCACACCTAGCCCTCAAACGTTCGTTTGTTAATTTTTGTTTGAGACATGGTCTCACTCCGTAGTCTATGCTAGTTTCAAACTCTGGATCTTCTTGCCTCAGCCTTCTAAGTTTTGAAATTATGGGTATATGCTACCACACCTGCTCCTCTGAAGAGTTTTGTTTTTTCTTTTCTTTTTTGGGGTGTTCAGTGTTAGGGAGTCAACGTGAAGGCCTTGTGAGCAAGTGCAATGCCACCGAGTTACGGACCTGGCTCTCTCAGTGACAAGGAAGGAGCTATGTGTATAAAGAATTCAGTACAGAAGCCAGGGAAGGGAGTTCACACCTATCAGACCAGACTCGAAGAGCTAACAGGGTGATCACGAGCTCAGAGGCAGCCTAGCCTATAGAGAGAGGCTCCCTGGAATCCGCAGGATGGAAAGAGAGAAATGACTCCCAGAGACTGCCCACTGACCTCAACACCCATGCATGTACATCACAAATAACCTTACACAATAATGATGGGAATAAATGGCTTTTGAAAGCCAAAGGGAAAGCAATAACTTGGTTCAGTACTTATATTTGCAAATGGTAAGTGTTCGGTAAATGTTAGCTGGTATGATTGCCAAGTGCGAAAGGCTGCTTTAGAACACACGCTCACCTCGTGTTCTCAGGCAGTAGCTCGCGATGTGAGGTGTTTGTTGTGGAACAATCTTTTTGTACACTGTGAAGATGTGTCGCTCGGATTGGCTTCATAAAAACCTGAATGGCCGATAGCTAGCTAGGCAGGATTTTTCGGGCCCAGAGGATTCTAGGAAGAAGAAGGGCAGAGCCGCTAGCCAGATGGAGAGCTGTAAGAACTAGTTAGAGACACGCCCAAGCTATCAGCTGAGCATCATAATTGATAATAAGTCTCCGTGTGGTGATTTGGGAGAAAGACTCGCGACCAGTGTCACTGGAACAGCCGAGCTCCAGTGTTTAGGTATTACAGACCATCCAGTGTCTAGCTCGGAGAGAACACAGAGGAGGTGCTCAGGGCAGAGGGGGAGCTGTCAGCTAGGTGCAAGCGCAGGACAGTGCACACACAAACGGCACTGCTGGGCATGGTTAGGAAGGCCAGCTGTAGATTTCCGCTGTTTTGCTCACTGTCCTGCCTCGGTGCAGGCACACCCGAGGAGGGCTGGCGACAAGCTGTGCCCATGTGACTGTCCGTGCATACTCTATGTCTGGAGAATTTGAGCCAGTGATTTTTCTCTTTCTTCCTTTCTCTCCCCACCCTTCTTCCTCCCCGCCCTCCTTTTCTTCGACAAGGTCTTATATGCTCCAGTCCCGCCTTCAAACCCACATGTGTCCAAGGATAATCTTGAACTTCTGGTCCCTCTCGCCTCTTATCTCACCTTCAAAGGCTGGAATTACAGGCGTGTGCCACAATGCCCAGAGAATGTGGTACTGGGAATGGAGCCCACAGCTTCATACAGGCTGGGCAAGTGCTCTGCCAACTGAACTACACCTGTGCCCTACCAACTGCCTGTAAGGACTTTTTCCACGAACAAAGGAATGAGATATGAATGAACACAGGCTTTGGAGTCTAAATAACTGGGCGTGAGTCTCAGCCCTTTCTCTGGGTTAGTTAACCTTCAAGGTTTGAGTTTCCTCCCTGAAAAATTAATCATATCTCAGTGAAATAAAATAATCATATACATGCTAAAATGCCTTACAAATGCTAAACTAATGGGTGGTGGTGGTGCACGCCTTTAATCCCAACACTCGGGAGGCAGAGGCAGGAGGATCTCTGTGAGTTGGAGGCCAGCTTGGTCTACAGAGCGAGTTTCAGGACAACTAGGGCTATTACACAGAGAAGCCTTGTCTTGAACCCCCCCCCAAGTTACAACTGTTATATTTTACGTTTACTTTTATTTTTTGAGACTTGCTGGCCTGAAACTCCCTATGTAGATGAAGCTGGCCTTAAACTCACAAAGACTGGGAATTTAAGGCATGCACTGGCAGGCTCAGGCTGGCATTTTTGAGAGAAGGTTTTACATGGCTTAGGCTAGCTTTGAACTTCTGATCTCCCTGTCTTCATCTCCCTGGTACTGGGGTTATAGGCATTTGCTACCATTCTCTCCTTAAAACATAATTTAAAAACATTTCATGCCTATAACCCAGCATTCAGAAGACTGAGACAGTCTGGGCTATACATAGCAAGACTGGTTCTTGGGTGGGTTTTTTTTTTCTTCATATTTTCACCTCTGTGTTGAGTCATTTCTAGAAAGAAAAAAATTCTCAGTCTTAATGCATCAGTGAATCTGGTTACAAAAAAGAGTGTAATTTCCTCTGTTAAGTCCAAAGAACTTGGAGTGTAGCCAGCATTCACGGTAAAGAGGGACAACGGTGTGCCTGGAAGGGCAGGCCCTTTCTGAGGGCAGAGCTGGCTCTCTTTGTGCTGGGATATACAATCTCTGACTTGGCTCTGACTTGACACCAAGTATCCTCTCTTTAGGTCCTTTTTGCTGGACCTCCCTTTCTCAAGCTGCTCCACCAAGTGCTGGGAGCCTTTCCACCTAAAGCCCCACTGGTCCCCACCCACCCTGCTCCCTGCCTCAGCTTGGACTCAGCTCCAGTACCAGCTCCTCGAGGTCCCTTTCTGGTAAGCCCAGGTCAACAGATCTGTCTCCTTAGTGCTGTGGCTACTGAGCTTGCCTGAAAGGACAGTCTCTCTCTTGAGCCGTATCTGTGGGATTGGGCAGGTTGTCTCGGTAGTCCATGCTGTGGGTTGATGCCACGGTAACCTTAGCGTCACTAGGGGCACCCTCATGGAGCCAGGCTAGCCACCCTGGCATTTTGTGGTCCTCTGGCCACAGCTCACTGCTTTCTGTTCTACACTTGTAATAAGGTCCTCTCTGCTAGGAATCCTTTTCTTTCCCAAGAACGAGTTAGGCTATTTCCTGCCCAGATGTCAGGGTCACCATCCAGTCCCCCAGAGGCACTCTGGGAGGGGTTATCTGAACAGAAGACATGACAAGCAAAGGGACTTCTGCTATCTCTGGCCCTCCCCAGCACCCATGAAGACCTAACCCCTTGGGACTGCATGGGCTGTACCGTTTCTTATCTAAGAAGGAAGAGAGGAGGGTGCAGTTAATTCCCCAAAATAATGACTCCAGGGTTGGACAAGATGGATCAGGAGATGGCCCTGCTGCCAAGCTTGACAACCAAAGTTTGATCCATACATGGTAGGAGAGAACAAACTCTTCAAGTTGTCCTCTGATTCCATGTGAATGTTCTATCTCGCCCTCTCCCCCCTCGCTCTCTCTCCCCTTCTCTTCCCCTCTCTCCCTTTCTCCCCCTCCCTCCCTCCCTCCCTTTCTTCCTCCCTCCCTCTCCTCCTCCCTCCCTCTCCCCCCTCCTCTTCCCCTCTCTCCCTTTCTTTCTCTCCCTCCCTCCCTCCCTCCCTCTCTCTTTTTCTCCCCATCCCTCTCTCTGTCTCTCTCACACAAATGCAAATAATAAATAAATAAATACACTCCTTCTCAGTGAGAGGATCCCACCCCACCCCATCTTACCTTGTGTGTTTGAGCGAGGAGAATCAGTCCTGTGCCACCCCAGACTGAGACAACCTTTGCTGCATACCGGGTTCCACCCCTCATCCCCACCCCATGACAATGGTTTAGTTTAGTCTTCTTGCACTCAACCAATCCAGGCCCTCACTCCTCCTACTCAGGGGTAGGGTGAAGGTAGCCACAAGGTTCTTTAGGTCCTGCAGCTATCTGCTTACTCTTTCAGATCAAGCTTGCCTCCTTTTGGGAGACTCTTCTTTGAGTCCTCTACCCAACCTTTTCTGTATATTCTTTGAGGGATTACAGAGAGGCTGAACAACCATCGCAATCCAGGTTTCCTGCTAGATTAGAACCACTCCAGGTATGGGACCTGCTGTTAACAGAATATTCTTTAAAGTCTTTATTGGAGAAGTTTCTTGGGGCTTGGCAGATAGGTAAAGTGCTTGCCAATGTACACATGCATACACACACATTAAACTGTTCATATATATGCTTTTAAACACACAAAGGACATTAGAGTATACTGATTTTGAGAGTATGAGCATTGGAACCTAGGGCCTCTGCATACCAAAATTGTGGTAAACCACTGAGTTACCACCTTCTCCTTTTCCCCCTGGGGTTTTAACTTAATCTTTGAGAAGTTTCACCCAGCCCCCAAGTACTCTGAACTTGCCAGGTGGTCAAGAGTCCATCTCATAACTTCTGAGAGCGATCAGGACAGAGCTGAAAGTGTGTAGACAGCCCTTAAGGAACTCATCATGTCTTATGAGACAGAAGCTATCTAGAAAAGGAAAAGGAAATTATGAGACGTGAGCAGAAAGGCAGAGATAGCTCCGGGAGGGCACTGGAGTGAGCCCAGCAGGCATCACATTCGAGCTGCTTTCTGGCAGGTGGAATGCTTAAGCAGACTCCGTGAAGAACCTACCTGATGCAGACAGCCACAGCAAGTATGCCTCAATGCTCTGCGGTTGGTTTGACTCAAGTTTCTTGCACGGCCCACCAGTCTCTTCCTGCGGCCATCTGTATTCAGTGAGTGGTAAGCCAAGGACTGGCTCAGCTGGGACTGCTGAATTTCACGACACGGTGGCCTCAGGGCTCTGGAACTTGCATAAAGTCGATCCAAGTAGCTTATTGATCAGAGTCATAAGAGAGCCCCAGATGAACGGGGGTCAAGAGTTCCGGAAACTGATGTGATATTTAACCAGTCCCATTGAGGGCTGAAGATGTTCAGGGGTTCCCACAGCAGACAATGAGGGGTGTAGAAGGGGAGGAGGCACTGGGAAGGGGATCACGCCTGTGAGGCACTCAAGATATACTGTGGAGAGAGGAGCGTTAGGCCTGAAGACACAAAGGTAGTTGAGAGGGCTGGGGAGAAGGGTCTTGAATATCATCTTTCTCCCGATTATTGGAAATTTTTCACAAGTTGTTATTCATGCTCTATATATCAGAGTCTACTATATCAGCTTACTCTGGAAGCAAGGTTAACAGAGGGAAGATAATCCCGGAGGAGGGGTAGTGCCTAGGGCTGAGGCCTAAGTAGGTAGGGGCTCTCAGGGTAGAGGGGTGAGCATCTTCGTGGCTTGGGGACTTACCTGAGGGTCTGCATGAGACGAGTGAGGGGCGGGAGCTGGGGGAGTGGAGGGAGGTAGTCAAGGGTGAGAGAGAGCAAAGGTTTCTAACGGGCTGTGTCTGGAAGAGCAGGGCAGCCTACAGACTCACCAGAAACTTCACGGAAGGGCGGGTTCTGAAGGAGCGTCTGGAAGGAATGCCGGTCAGATCTGGGCAGGAGCAGTCCCAGAAAGGGATTCTACCACACTTCTCTTCAGGCCTGGGGCCCACCATTTTTGAGGTTGGGCTGACTGGATTTAAACCTGTTTTCTTTAAGCCTTCCCTAAAAACTCTCCTTCACAGAAATGTCTTCTGTAAAATTTGAGAGTAAGTAGAGGTGGAGAGAAGGATTCCTGGGGGTAAGGTTATTAGAATAAAATGAGGACTTGAAGACAAACATTTATGGCCTCTGTAGGAAGTCTCTGGAGTGACCAAAACTGATATGGGCAAGGATGTGGGGGAAATGGCTTTGAAAACATATGCTCAATTCAGAGGGGGAATTAAAGCAAGCCTAACCCAGTTCTTTCTTTATCTTCTCCCTTATAGCAGGTGGTGTAAAAAGTCTTGGTCCGCTGACTGTTCTGCCACACCTTTAGCATGAAAGACAGGTGTGGGCACAGGCCAGGCCCTGATGTTTGTTCTAGGCAATGCGGATCAGTGAGAGGGATCAGGGACAGGAGTTGACTCTGTCTGCCCAGAAGTTATGAGGTCCTCAACAGTCTTGGGCCAGGTATGACAAGTTCACACGGAAGCCACCGGTTGGATTTAGGCTACAAAGTGCCAATTCTACATTTCACAAATACAGAATCTAAATATTAGTTAAGTAACTTGGCCACAGTTACACAGCTTTTTGGTGGAGGTCCAGGATCCTAGCCCAGGTTTTCACGTGTACGGCAGGGAAATGATGTATCTAAAGAGGATAACTCAAAAGGATTCACGCCTATGGCTCCAACCATGTGCTCTGCTGACAGACACTGGGCCTCTCCAGGCTTTCCTCTAAGTGGCTGGTGTCTCTTAAAATTGAGGACCTGAAAGAACAGGCCGACTACAGTCTGACTAATGCTGTAGACAGGCTTGCTTGAGCGTTGTTCTGTTTTGTTTTTATACAGGAAGGTAACAAAGAAAGCAATGATCCAAGGAAGGTTGTTTGAATTCATAAATACGTGATCAGAAAAACATGTAAATAAATGCCAGCAAGCACATGCTAAATATTAACCAACAGAGCAACCCTTCCCCAGAACTTTCTCAGGACAGACCACTTTAGATGCAGTTGCCTGTCACGTCCTATACATCACATCTGGGAAAGCACCAAAGCAAGGCAGAAGGCCATATGCAGATTCAGAGGACAGAGAGGATGGCCCTCAGCATATCTTTTCACATTTCGGGTCAGATTCTGTAGCTATGCTTCTATATCCAACAAGAATAAACGTATCTAATAAACTGTTGTAGGGAGGCTGCTAGTTTGTCTCCCGGCCACCCAGCAGCTCAGACCCGGAATAATCACACAGAAACCATATTAAATCACTGTTTGGCCCATTAGCTCTAGCTTCTTATTGACTAACTCTAACATTTTAATTTAACCCATTTCTAGTAATCTGTGTATCACCACATGGCAGTGGCTTACCAGGTAAAGTTCCCAGTATTGTCTCTGGTGGGGCTATATGGCTTCTCTCTAACTCCTCCTCCTTTCTCCCAGCATTCAGTTTAATTTTCCCTGCCTAGCTCTGTTTCCTGTGCAGGCCCAAGACAATTTCTTTATTAACCAATGGTATTCACAGCATACAGAGGAAACTCCCACATCACTTCCCCTTTTCTGTTTAAATAAAAAGGAAAGTTTTAACTTTACCACAGTAAAATTACATATAACAAAACAGTTATCAAGAAAAAATTACAGTTACAATACTTATATCTACTTCATCTTCTATCATAACTAAGGAAAACTAGAACTAGAACTATCTACTCTTCAACTCCATCAAAGACTCCAAAAGGTTATAATATTTCCTAAGTAAACAGGAAGTACATTGTAAGCAATTTCCAAAACTCTATAAATAACAGAGACATCTCTCTGCCTGGACAATCACCCAAAGTTCTTCTGTACCATTGGAGCACCTATCTTCAGTCTACTGGCCCATAGTATCTGGCAGACTTTTCCATGAAGCAGGAAATTTCAAAGACAGTTCCACCTATATTGGCAGCTTGTCAGTCACTTTCTTCTTTGTCCTGCAGAATGTTTAGCAGACTCTTTCATGAAGCAGGAACCCTGAAGGATCATCTCACCCTTAGGCAGGTTCAGCAGTCATTTCTCTGTGGGTCCTACATGTCCAGTTCATCAAGAAGTTCAGGCAAGAGCAGTTTCTTGCCCAAATGGCTAACCAACTCTATAAGGAGCCTCTTGGATGCTCATCATCCTCTTGAAGTAATTGGTGCTGCCAGGAGCAGATGTGTCTCATTGTCATGAAAAGTCCTAAGTCCTTAAACATTTTAAATGCCATACTCTGTAGTCTTTGAAAAGTTTGAAGAATGCCTATCCATCTGAAATATATCTCTGTACATCTAGATACATAGCTATAAGCTTGACTATTATACATGATTATCTATTAACCTATATTTCTTAATTATGCATTACATTTTAAAATAAACTTGACAAGCACAATACCTTAATCAAGATCAGAAATGCATATACATAGTATAACAAAACTGACCTTAAAATTGTATCAATAAACCAAGATTCATACCAATTCAAATCTCTATAGCATATCCCCTGTCAGATGTAAACAAACATTTACAAACAATATTTGAGAATCTGGGCATAGTTCTCTCCAAACTACTTCCTGCTGTTTATTGGGTGAAGTAATTTTTTGAGGGGTGTTCAAGGCAACATTTTAGGGGATCTTGGTCCATCAAATCACATTAGTCTGGAAGGATTCCATCCTCTGTGGAAACAAAAGAAGAACATCTTTTCCAAAGTTGCATATCCTTAAACCCCAATTTTAAAGACAAGATATCTCTAAAGTATATAGGTTGGTTACTTAGCTCCTTCACAGTCAAAAAATTCAAATAAAACACAATAATATACATAATCTAGACACTCTGTGTATAGTCCATCTTTACGTGGCTTATTTGTTTTCATGCTATTACTTTTTAATATTTATTTTATTATCTTTACTCCTTTAATATATGACTATATCTCTTTAAAGACTTTTTTTTAAAATAAATTTATTTATTTATTATGTATACAATATTCTGTCTGCATATATGCCTGCAGGCCAGAAGAGGACACTATACCTCATTACAGATGGTTGTGAGCCACCATGTGGTTGCTGGGAATTGAACTCAGGACCTTTGGAAGAGCAGGCGATGCTCTTAACCGCTGAGCCATCTCTCCAGACCTAAAGACTTTTTTTTAACCCATTTATTTTTATAACTCTCTATACCCTTTTTCTTCTCTCTCCCAAGCCTACGTACATTTTTAAAACACACTGTGTCTCATTTAGAGGTATTTTTCATCTGAATTTGTCTTTATTGTGTGTCTGTAATTATTTTCTGAACAAAAGTGCTTCTTAAAATGCTAAGCCTTTCTTATGAACTTAAGCAACACCATTGCTAGGGGAAATATGGCAGTACCTGCTTGCCCCACCCAGTCCAGCATGGCAGAGCTGTTCGCTACCTCTGAGAACCATGTACATTGCCCCATTTTTAGGCACACAGCCAGGTCTATGTTGGCATTAAGCAAGTTGTAGCACATTGTTCACAAACCCCATTTAAATGTGCAGTCTCCTGAAAGAGCCAGAGGCTGTGCTGGCAGTATGGTCCAGAAAGCGGCATTTCAAAACTGTGGCTTTTTTTCTGCTACTGCTGATCCAGAAAGACCTCTCTTAAAGGAGCACATCATGCCACCAGCAAGCAAAGCCCATTCTGGAAAATAACTGTGGCTAAACTTTGCTTTTTAGTGTCTAGAATGTCTTTCCAAGCCCTCTAAGGTTTTGTGTGGATTTAGTAAACCATATTGGTGCACCAGTTTGTTGTAGGGAGGATGCTAGTTTGCCTCCCAGCTGCCCAGCAGCTCAGACCCAAAATAATCACACAGAGACCACACTATTTAAATCACTGCTTGGCCAATTAGCTCTAGGTTCTTATTGGCTAACTTTTACAGTAATCTGTGTATTGCCATGTGGCAGTGGCTTACCAGGTAAAGTTCCTGGCTGGGCTACTGGCTTCTCTCTAACTCCTCTTCCTTCCCCCAGCATTCGGTTTAGTTTTCCCTGCCTACGTCCATTCCCTGCGCAGGCCCAAGATAGTCCTTTATTAACCAGTGGTATTCACAGCATAGAGAAGGGAATCCCACATCATAAATTGAATGTGAATATTGTCTCAGGAGGCACAAAATCATGACCAGGAACAGTCCAGCAGGAAAAAGCCCTCTGCTTTTTCTCCCTGGATCCTCTCTTACAGCTTCTCGAGGTACCATTCACCACCTTTGACCCTATTCCCGTAAGGGTTCCTTATCACCATTATTCCACCTCATCCTGAAGTGAAGTGAAGTAACCTCATCCAGGACTTAGCCCTTCTGGGTTCCATTATCTCTATTAATGTCTTTGTTTCTCGAGTCAATGACTTTAGTCCAAATTTCAGTCACCTGTGTGACCCACTTATCACTACGATATTCCCAGCATCATGTCCAGATGGTAAGCACAAGGAAGTTGGCTGGGAGTGGTGACCCATGCCTGTGATTCCCGCACATAGGGGTGAGGCAGGATAACCCAGAATTTACAGTCACTCTGATACTCGGGAAGAGGCTCTGTCTCAGAGTTTCTACTGCTGTGGTAAAGCATCGTGACCAAAAGCAACTTGGGGAGGGAAGGGTTTGCTTCTACAGCTTTCAGATCACACTCTGTGGGTGAGGGAAGTCAGGGCTGGAGGCAGAAGCTGAAGCAGAGGCACAGAGGAGAGCCTTTCGTTGACTTGCTTTCTTAAACAACCCAGGGTCACCTGCCCAAGGTGCTACTGGGCCCTCCCACATCATTAATCAAGACAATTCTCCACAGAGTTGCCTACAGGTTCATTGGATGGAGGTACTTTCTCAATTAAGAGCTCCTCTTCCAGCCAGGTGATGGTGATGCCTGCTTTAATCCCAGCACTTGGGAGGCAGAGGCAGGCAGATCTCTGAGTTCGAGGCCAGCCTGGTCTACAGAGTGAGTTCTAGGATAGCAAGGGCTACACAGAGAAACCCTGCCTTTAAATAAGACAAAACAAAGACAGAAAAAGCTTTCCTCTTTCCAGACATGTCTAAGTTTGTGTCAAGTTGACAAGAACAACCAGTACAACTGAACCCTTGTCCACCTGACACACAAACACATAACTGTTCTGTATTAGTCCCTTTCCTATAGCGTGGTAAAATGCCGCAACCAAGGCAATTCCAAAGGATAAGTCACAGTAAAATGAGAAACCAAAGGATTCCGCACCCAGCACAGAGACAGCACAGAGATGGGGTCCGCATAGCTTTTACAGTAGATGTCTGGGCATCCTATAACGCACTTCTTTCGGGAGCCAGCAGTTTCCACATCTTCCTCGATGGTGTCAAGATTTCAATGAGATGGGGTTGCTGTCTGCATAGCTTTTACGGTAGACATCTGGGCATCCTATAACGCGCTTCTTTCGGAAGTCGGCAGTTTCCACATCTTCCTCAACGGTGTCAAGATTTCGAAGCAAAGGTCTTGACCCCCAGCCAGAGCTGCACCTTTGATTTGAACTTCAACAGAAGGGTCTCGTTACAAACCTGGGACGAGCGGCTGAGGCGCCTATTTAACACATATCACAGTGGACCTGGCCACCAGGTTCTCCCTGCATCCCTCAGCCCCTACCTGTCACAGGGTCCTCCTGGCTGGCATACCCTAGTCCCTCCCTGAAGTCACCAGCCCAGGGACTAGGCTGCCTGTCCCCCCAGAGGCTCTTCTCTATATAATCCCCACATTTTGGTTACTCAGTACTTTGAGGCCTCCTGGCTGTTGCATTTGGTTCCTTTGTCTTCCCTTTCCCTCCCCCCAGTGTCTGCACATGACCTTGCTCAGCCTGGTCTGTCCACGCTGGACTCTCCCAGATGTGTCTGACTCTGGCTGTGTTCTTCCTTGTATCTACCATAAACCTTTTCCTCCACCATAGCTAGGAGCAGTCAGGCCCTTTTCCTTCAATTCCTTCCTTCCTTCCTTCCTTCCTTCCTTCCTTCCTTCCTTCCTTCCTTCCTTCCTTCCTTCCTTCCTTCCTTCCTTTCATTATTTCATCTGGTGCTCGAAACCCTGGAGGGACATAAATGAGCTCCCCTTCCAAGGGGCTCGGCCTCTCTTAGCTGAACCAAACTGCCAATTTTGCCCTGGTGGGTGTGGATCACTTGCTCAAGCTGGCTTCTGACCACCGCCCCCCACCACATATTTGGCTCCAAATTCTATAGTTGGATTTTCACTTCCTCTCCTCAGTAAGTATTCTCTCTCTGGCTCTTGGAGCCTGCAATGCCCTTTTGGGGGCACCCACACGTGGGCATCTCCTTTCTACACCCTTCTGGAGCTGCCACCATGTGGACATGCCCTTCTGGGCCCCACCACATGGATAACTCTGCTTGCTAAGACACATGCATCTCTCCAGCTGTTTTCCTCTCGACCTGTTCTAACCACTTGCCTCTCTCCTTTCTCGCCTAAGCATCATTACCATGGAGCTTCCTTCTTTGTCTTCTTTTACTATGAAAGGCTACACTGGTATGCTGGGACCCACCACATGAAGAGGGATGCCTCACCTCTGTGATTTGGGACAGTTCTCTCTCACAAGCCTCTCAGTCCGCTCGAGGATGTCCCGGATTGAAATTCTTGTTACCATGACACTTACCCTCCTCTGTTCCTTCATGGCTCCTCTCAGCTCCTTCTTGGGACTGCCTCACCTCCACTAGGAGCTGCCTACACTCTCCTGGGTCTGTGACCCTTTCCTTGCCCCCTTCCCACTGGAGCTATCTGTTCTATCTCTCCTTGAGCCCTCCTAGGCAAGGAGTTGTGAGTTTCCTTGCCTCCCCCTAGGAGCTGTCTGAGAAGTCCCATAGCATTTCTCAGCCCTCATGGCTTCTGGGATACTGGAACTGTTCCCTGTCTATTAGGTGCCTAACCCTCCCTATGGTGTTTTTTTTTTTTTTTTTTTTTGTGACCTATCTCCCCTTTTCTCATTGGATTTAATTTTTTGATGATAGAGATAGATAGATAGATAGATAGATAGATAGATAGATAGATAGATAGATAGATGATAGATAGATAGAGATATAGATCTACTAAGAAAACAGATGTTTTTAAATAGCAACCATGTGTACCTTGGCTGACGACCACATCAGGATGAAGTAGCCACATGGTTAGCGGCCCTCTTTACTAAGGTTAAAGGGTACATGCCATGTGACTTAAACCACGTGGCATAAAGCAGCATTATAAAACATCTCAGTACTACTGAGTTTATCATGGTATCTTCTTTTAGACCAAGAAAGCAACAAGACGTCTCCAAAATATTTTAGACTAGTATGGATTTTTGTATGATGATATAGACTTAAAAGTGCTTCTCACTGTGTTAAAAACATCTGTCTAGTCTATATACACCCAATTTTCTGGATAGAAGAAAAGGTAATCACAATTTTAACCCCAAATCATTTTCCATCCCCATGCTTCTATTATCACTCAAAAGTGTGAATCCACAGCCTTCTCTATAATGTGGATTTCAGTACAGATCAAAATCCACGGTAATACTAGCATATCCAAAACTTATCTCTTTTTGTGATAAAAAATTCTTGTGTCAGGGAATCAACTTGAATCCAGCTCTCGGGTCAAATGGACTTCAGAGGAGTACGGTCACCTGCCTATTCTGTTTATTCCTGAGGGTGGGATCCCCCTCCCCCAGCTACCAGGACCCTGGGTCTAAAAGTTTCAAATGTGCATCCTGTATAAATTTCCTCTAAACTCCCAAACCTGCGTCAATGTGGCTGGCCTAGGTGGTCCAGCCTCTTTCAGGACTGCAGCCAGCATCCCAGTTTCCTTGGGTCCCCAAGGATGTTCCCCAGACCACAGAGCATGGTGCCCCATTCCTGCCTCGCCATCACCCCTTCCTACTTCCTCACCTTTTATAATAAACAAAAGGGAGGAATGTTAGAAACCAGGCGTTCTCCCCGCCTGCCTTCAGCGACTCAGTGCTACAGCTATGTCATCACCACTCGCCAAACGCAACACGTGCACCCTTTAAAAAGTTCCCTGCCAGCACAGCCTGCTCTTTCGTTCTGTCTCTCGCTCTCTCTTTTCCCCACTCCATGGCCTCTCATCACCCCCCACCCCCATAGCTCTCTTGTATGAGAACTGTTGCACGGTGTGATTTCTGCAGAATTCCCTGGCTGTGATCTGGCGAGTTACTCCGCTGTGGTAACCCTAACAATGCCTCTTTCACTTCTTCACAGGGTATTGGTGTTTACCCTGGTAAGACACAGACAAAATGCTGTTTGCTCAGTAGGTATTTAACACTCTAGTTAAGAGGAAGTCAAAGGAAGGGGAGGGAGGGTAATAATGTCCAATCCTTGCAATGTCCATGCAGAATCCACAAAGGAAGAACAAACAAAGGCATTGGGATGAAGGTGAATTGGCCATAGCCTGTCAGTCAGCAGAGATCTCCACCGAGAGGAACAAAAACCTCTCCTGTGTGAGGGGAGGCCTGACTGGGGAACTGAAAGCACCTGGCTTGGCTTTGTCTTCAAAGTCTTTGAAGAAGTGATTACAGTCTTGCCCCTTAGGGATGTGGATACCCCTCCTATGAGATGCCAGGCAACTTATCCCTGAAATGAACATTAAAAAACTTGCCCTAAAAGCCTATAGCCTCAGGGCATGTTGCTTCCTTCTTAATCCGACTTTGATGCTACAGAATCTGAGTCATACTTGTAGTAACCTTGTCACAAGGGATGTGACTATGTTTTTATTATCCATACTTTATGCAGAATAACAGTCAGCTGAACAGTACTCAAATGGAGTGGTGTGAAAGAAAGGCATTCTTTAGAAGTGGTCTCTCGTGTCAGGCGCACGTAAACAGCGTCCAAAATCGGAACGGTAAAGCAAAATGCAGTTTCACAGACTGCTTTGGAACTCTTTATTCCCTTCTAAGAGAGGAAGGAGGATACGGCAAAAATAGACATTTGATAAAACCAATGGCAGAGGAAGACAGGGAACCCTTCCAACTATATGCTACACATGACAAAACAGCACACACAATAAAAGTCTGGTGGCTTCCTGTTGCCAGAGAAGGTAGTGGCTTTGTAAATGCTCCCCCCCCCCCAGGACTGGACTTTGGATCTTTCCCAGTCCTTGGGGAGGGAGCACGCTCCTATTCTGGGAAGTTACTTTTCTTTTGATAAAATATCTCTATTTCTATCTCTAGCCATGTGTTCCTGGTGCAATTCTTTGTTCAGGACAGAGAACCTGGAAATCCCACGGGTGCCCTCTGGACTCTGATCTATGCTTATAACAGTTTTGGTAAGCATCAGCCAGGAACACAAATACACACACATGTGTATCCTCTTAAGAACCTTAACTCGGGCTGGAGAGATGGCTCAGCAGTGAGGAGTACTTCTTGCTCTTACAAAGGACCAACTTAGGTCCACTCTGTTATATAGAGCCAGGGCCCTTTGTTCTGTCCTGGCTGCCGGCTAGCTTACACCTGAAATAATCACACAGAAACTGTATTCATTTAAGCACTGCCTGGCCCATTAGCTCTAACTTCTTATTGGCTAACTTCTATGTCTTAATTTAACCCATTTCTATTAAATCTGTGTATTGCCACATGACTGTGGCTTACCAGCAAGATTCTAACCAGCATCCATCTCAGGCAAGAGCTCCATGGCGTCTCTCACTCTGCCCTTCTTCCCAGCATTCAGTTCCGTCTTCTCCACCTACCTAAGTTCTGCCCTATCAGGCCAAACAGTTTCTTTATTGATTAACCAATGAAAGCAACACATAAACAGGAGGACCTCCAACACTACCACTCCCAATTGCCTGTGACTCCAGCTACAGGAGATCCAATGCCCTTTTCTGGCCTGTGTGGGGACCCCTATACACATGGCATCTGAGCACTGCCTGGGTGTCCTAAACATGCCTCTCCAGGGGCATAAAGACGCAGGCAGTAGTGTCATTGGGACAGTTCTTATCTGCTTTTTGACCCTGAAAATTCAAGCCCTGTTACTTGCCGGAAAATTGCCTTTGTATGTATGTGTGTGTGTGTATAAACTGGAACCCTTACAATACGGGAGAGAGAATAAGAAACACGATTTAAACAGTACATGTATAAACTCGCTCCGTACTTCTTAGACCAGGAATGGTTTAAGTCCTTTCACTACGCTGAGGCTGCTGACCTAACTAACCCTTGGTAGGGGATCAGTTAGAGCTGGACTCTATTGGCCCCTGCTAATGAAGACTCTCTGATGACAATTGGGGCAGGCACCAAGCTATGCATATAGCAGAATACCATTAGGCTGTCACTGCACTGACTTTTTTTCTTCCAACCATGTTTGGCTCTATTCTAGGTCTTTGGGCCATCTGTCCTCTGGGTCCTGAAGGCAGCATCAAGGGTGGGCTCATTCTCGTGGTGTGGGTTACAGGTGGGACCAGTCGTTGTTTGGCCCCTCCCACAATCTCTGCTCCACCCTAACCACAGCACATCCCATAGGCAGGACAGGCTGTATAAAAGGTTATGTGGCTGGGTTGGTGCCCTGATCTTTCCACTGGAAGTCTTGCCTGGCCACGGGAGATGGCCAGTTCAGGCTGAGAATCTGCTCTTGCTAGGAGTCTTAGCTGGGGTCATCCTTGGAGACTCCTGGGAGTTTCCCTTGCACCAGGTTTCTGCCTGATGTGGAAATGCCCTCCCCTGCTTCCAGTCATCTCTTTTAGTTCTCCCCCTCCATCCAAGTCCACTCTGATCCCTCAAGTTCCTATCCCCATCTGGCCCCAGTCCATTCACGAAATCTCTTCTGTTTGCCCTTCCCAGGGAGATATGAGCTTGCCCTCCTGGAACCTCCTTGTTACCCAGACTGTCTGTATCTGTGGCTTGTAGCATAGTTACCCTCTGTTTTACAGCTGATATCCATTTATAAGTGAGTACAAACCATATTTGTCTTTCTGGGTCTAGGTTACCCCCTCAGGAGATTTTTTTTCTTCAAATTTCATGATGC